TATTTGCTCCCAAAAATTGTCAGTTATTAGCTGAGAGTTAGAGTTCAGAATGAGCGAAAAACATCTCAACTTTTTTTTATACGAACAATCGGTGATATGTGATTGATTGTTTTAGCTGTGTTCATTTGTTTTCATTTTCAGTGTGCTCTTACAATTAGTTGAGAGTTCATGGGTTGGTGGTTCATTGTGCAAATTACAAATCACAATCATTTCGTTTCGTAAGCGTCAAAAAAATTTTTTAAAGCGTCAAATTGACAAGTACACTACACAACAAACAACTAACTCATTAATGCTCATTAATCAAACTAATGATATCAATTCAAAGTGCTTCATTTGATTGAATGAACTCTGTGAAAGGCAATAATAAACTTAAAAACGACTTTTCAGAATGTGACAAAACAGGCCGACACCGAATCAGTGCGAGTGGACGGTCGTGGTCCGGCCCAGATCCACGACGTGCAATTCCAGTGTAAACCATCATTACCCAAAGAGGGATATTCACCAAAAGTATTCANGAGAAGCAAGATAAGTTTGGTACAGATGCATATAAAGAAACATCGCCATATAGCACCACTCATCATAAATTAAGTGTCATCAATAGCTCAAGATATGATTCAACCAAGTGTATTATGCACTGAACTTGCGAATTGCCTATCGAATGTTGAGGTTTTGAGAGCGATTATGTCTGAAGTTTCATCGAGAACTTACGATTAATATGATCAAAACAATTGCATTTGAAGTTGAATTCACAATTTTTGTTGAACACATTTTCATTAGCACATTGCTGCTTGTTACTATTCATATCAACAAGAGTTACTGAATTCAAGAAGGTTTGCATGAATAAAACCTATACGTAATTCTCAATTTTGAGGTGGAGAGACTTGAAGAGGAGCGCAAGAAATTGCAAGATGAGAAGGAAAAGACTGAAGATCGTCAGAAAATATTGCAACGACGAGTGGAAGTGCTCGATGAAATTGTTGCAAAGGTAAAATGCAGATCCGGCAATTTTTTGAGAGTTATCAGCTTAAGAAACTTCACACATTTGGATACGTACTGAAACGCATATGAAGTTGTTTTCGTACTGCTGCACCGTTTGAGGTTTATTTCGTGGTCCAAATAGAAGTGATAATGCTATTGATAATTTCAAAAATAGCCCATTGATTCGATTTTATAGATTAAAATGGATGAGTCGTGACACAAAATATGACTGTAACTATTTGC